GCACTGGTATTTAGTTCCGAACGTAAGAAAAACATTTATGCTTATCCATGATACAGATTTTATATTTAAAAATATTCAACAGGATTTAACTGCATATATGAATTTCAAGTACATATCAGAACTTTCGTATCGCTGCCATTTTTTGGATATTCATATAATATGTATGATACGATTTTATACTATTAGTGTATACCTATTATTGGAGCTACAGTCGCAAACACTTTGAAATGAGACGATGCATTTACTCGTGCATTTACTGCCAACGTCCGATCAACGTTGCCGCTATATCAGGTCAACGATATTTGCCCCAGTACTTTGCGTGTTCTGCCTGGGCCGATGCTGTTTCAATATTCGGTGAATGTTAAAATAAAATTTGTATGTGTGTATTTGGAAATCGGCGAATATTAACAAGGTTATGCGAATAACGATCCTAATGTAACAAAGTATTATTAAGCGTTTCTGTTTTAATTTAATCGATCGCAATGGAATTCCAGTATCTCTATGCATATACATATACATATACATATATATGTATATATAATTGTTTATATATATGTATTATACAAGGCGAATCATTTAATTGTGCCAATGAAATTTATTTGTAAACCATTATTCGTTTATCGTATAGGAAAGTGTTTAGAACAAAAGTTGTTTCACATCAAGAACTGAAACTACCGTTGATAATAAAAATATAGGAAATCAACTTGATACCAAGTAACTTTCGTTTGAAACAATTTCTTTATACAACAGATAAGACTATAAGTAATTTTAGGTGGCACAGTTAAGTGATTCACTCTGAATATGTATTATATACATATCTATATACGTATATGTATTATATACATATCTATATATGTATATGTATTATATACATATTTATATACGTATATGTATATATATATATATTAATTTATTCTTGCGGAAGATGTGTCGCGCATCTTCAAGGTATCTGTTAGAGAAGTGACTATCGGAATCTCGAACGACGTCGACTGAACTGATAAAGAAATGTTACTGCCAACTCTTATAAATGTTCAACGTATTCTTTTTCATTCCTAATGATAAAGTTAGGTTTCGCATTCATTTTGCGGAGCGTCGCATCGAATAGGCTTTAGTGAACGATAAAAATAGTCTTTATTTATTTCAAGCAAGCATTTCACTGTGTACAACGTAAATAAATAGTAATACTTCCAGAGATGATTGCGATTTGATATTTAATGCTGAAAAAAGAACGTATATAGATATATATATATACGCACGCACTAATATATACAGACAGACAGCATATATACTTATACGAATACAGACACAGATACACAGATACACAGATACATAGGCGGAATACACGTGCGCATATATACAAACATACACACATTAATGTTCATGGTAGATAGCAAAGATTTAAAAAAAGAAAAGAATGTTATTCTCGAACGTTATCAATACTGCTCCGTAGCTATAAAATATAAAATGAATCCAGATCAGCATTAAATGACAAACACTTAGTATAACAATAGATAAAAAAAAAGAGAGAAATTGAAAGCCGTAATAATAAAATGAATAACCATAAATTCATTGTAATAAAATAGTATTTAATGTAGTACAGTTCGAAGGGTGATTGTTAATTTGTAATAATTATTTCAGTAGTGATCAGATACAAAAATAATAAATAAAAAGTGCATCAAAAGGACTATAGAATATTCTCTATCCCCTTTCCTTCTCCCATTCGCACACTCGCGCATTCATTCACTCACTCACTTTTACTCTCTCTCTCTTTCTTCATCACGTTTGTCGACGATACAAGAGAAATCAAAAAGTTGAAACTCATCGATTACGTCAAAAGTGTTTGTAATTTATTTACAATTTTATTGACTCGATAAAAAATAAGATGATCTACCGTTAATTATGTAATTTACATGTTTGTATATAAAAAAAAAGAGACACGAAAGAGAACAAAGAAATTATGTGTACACCCTGCGTGATGTTTGCAAATAGCATATTCTTCATAATCGAGATTTACAGATAAAACGAGGCACTCGCTTGTTGGCGCATCGTGAAAGCCAACTGTAAAATTCAATGTTATTTGCGTGTTGAATGTCGATAAAAAAAAGTATACAAGTTTTTTGCTTTTAATCGTCGATCGGCCGATTCTCCGGTTTTAAACAGAATGTCGTTCGTGCCATGATGATCTCAGGGGGAACGCCAGTTACCATCGGCAATCCGTATACATTAAATGAATTGTCCAGTGTTTGTTTCTGTTCGTCAGACGAAAGGATATCCTTGTCCTTGTTTATGATTAACGCTAACGTTCCGGCTGCAAAAGAATGTTTTTTGTTACAATAAATATTACATATTACTTGTGTATTGTAGGTATGTATTTTATGCGTATGATGGTTGATTATCGTTGATCATATGCTGAAATGTTTGAATATCGTTGATTATATGATAAAATGGTTGAGTATCGTCGATTATATAATAAAATAATAGATTATCGTTGATTACATGATAAAATACATACGGGAATCTAAGGGGGGGCAGGAACAACTCGGATCCAAAGTGAATTCGATAGTAGCACGAAGACGTCGAACTTCTTGGGATGCATTCAGGTCCAGCAACAATCTCGCTTTACGCAATCGTCTGATCGCTACTTTAACCGCGGTATTCGCCGAGCAATAAACATTGCTAATGTCCAACGTCAATTTGTCGACACACGTGGGACAAGATTGTGTCACTTTTGTCACCGCTAAATTAAAATTTTACGTTCAAGATTAACGATGATAAGAATATTAATAAACAACAATAATATAAACATTAATAATAACAGTATTAACAAACAATAATAATAAGAATAACAACAACAGTAATTAACACGTTGAATGCCATGGGTGTCACGGGTGACCCCCAACTAGATCGAATTACTATAGTTCACTTAATGAAACGATGATTATTTGGAAACATCTTGATATTATAAACAATGCTACTTAACGCGGTGCCATTCAGCTAGATGAATGTGTAGTAATATAACGTAATTCAATAAAATGATTAAATATTATACTTTTTCCATTTCGTGTATTTTGCTCCATAAAGTCGTGCGACATTCAACGTGTTAATAATAATTCTGAAATATGTTCACTTACATGAAACTTGCATGTCACTGTCTGTCTTGTATAAAGTTTGGTTTTCGTTTGCTCCCTTGAGAAAAAGAAGAATTATTCCCATAAAGTGTGCGATAAAGTACGAAATTGTACATTAAGTATGCTAAGAAATCGGGGATCAATTAGAAAAGACAGTATCTATCGTTGAATTTCATTTTTGTTTAAATCTATATCGTTTATCTATATCAATTTATTAAATATATTCGTGAAATATTATCAGTACTCTTTACCGGAGGTGTTAACGAAGAATCGTGCAGACTATTAGCACTGCTGACGGTTTCCGGTTGATAGTCGGATTTCTCAGGTTTTACGTAAACCGGCACTGGTCCTTCGACTCCTTCCGGAGTTTCTAATTCATGACTCACTACAACAAAGGATGGATTCCCTGGCATCTCTGAATCTTCTATTTCTTTCACGAAAATCGTGGACGGATTTTCTCCAGTGCCCAAAGCTTTTACGCTGAGATCGGCGCCGCCAAAATTAATGTTGCGATTCTCGTCTAATTCATCTGGGGTCAAACCACTGCCAGACTCTACCTGTGGAGCTGACAAAACTTCGTCACATTGAGATACTCGTGAATTGTATTAGATATATTCACTGGAAATTAGAGCAATTCAATTGTTTATAAAGGATTAACACTCCGTCGGGAATATAGTTTTTCACCAACACGGTTAGCAATATGGATCTTGTGAGTTCTGTAAAAATCTGAAAATATTCTGAGTTATTTATTATGGTTTCTGATTTAATATACAAATGACACTCTAGCCAGATTTTCATTTCATTTTGCAATAGAAATTCAAAACCGTGATGAGGTTGTGAAGAAATGAGATTTTCGGCAGGTTTTTAATGGTCTATATTGCCGGCGGAGGTTACACGGCTCAAAGGGGCAAAGATAATGAATTATATTTTTTTTCTAGGTCATTTTTTCACGATATCGATGGCACAATTACTATCTTAAATGGAATCTTACATTGTTATATCTACGTTCTTACAGGGATTAAAAAATACAGTTCAATGACCTAAATGGGAACATTTAAATATCTTTGCCATTTTTAGCGTTAGAAAATAAGTTTCGAGGACGAAGTTATACTATTATTATGACATCACTTTAACATTATTTCTCGATAAGATCATAATTCTTCTACGTGTGATTTATCCTTCTTTCTACTCACTGTTCGAATGATTGACAATGCTGTTGTCATGGGTGGTCTGTACAACGTCCGAAGTTTCCTCTCTAACTTCTAAATCCGAGTTTTCTTCGAACGACACATTATCATTAACAGATCGCATTCCAGCGATCGATTCATCTTTTCTTGAAGTTATAGATTTTCTATCCGCCTCGTTGATTCCATTGTTCATCTTATTCATATTGCTCGTATCCTCCGTGGACTGAAAGTTCTTTGCCGATTTTTCCATTGCTTTGTTATCTTTGAAACTTTCCTCCGGTAGAAGTAATTTATTAATAATAACCGAATCTTTCGCTAACAGCGTTACTTTCGGTATTATACTCGGTGTCGATGGTTCTTCGGTAGGCTCCGCGCTGCTACAAGTCGGCGCGAAATTATAGCTCTGGAAACATTACGTTTTGCCATTGATTATTTCTCGTTAAAATAACTAATCTTGTAATAAACAATATTAAATAACTAATAACCAAATAACTAGTTTCCTATTTAACATTTTGTTAGATTATTTTGTAAGTTCCTTTTGACGGTACAGTTTGAACATTCTCTCGGAACGCTTTCTGTCATTGAATTACGAAATTAAAATATTGCTTTAGCACAGGCAAGAAAATAATAATGCAGAAGAAAATAATTATAAGGAATATAATATAGACTGCGAAGGAAATGACTCACTATTATACTTTTAAAACCTAATTATTATACATATCTATATAATTGAAAGTAAATCACTGAAAATCTCAATATTCATAATAGACGTGACAGTATCACCTTCTATATTGAAATTAATCCTTTGCACTCGGGAGGTGACTCTCACTCACCACTTGATTTCATACAGTAAAACTATAAAATTTGATATTTAATATTATACTTTGTATAATGCATCAATCTGAGAAGTATTGAAATAAAATAGCTTTGTTCCTCAATGTACGTGTGATATCTCTTCGAGTTAGTTTCACAAAGTATTGTCTTTATCTCATCAGAAAATGTTAAAATATTTTTAGTAAAAACTTCCGAGTGCAAACGGTTAATAGTATCTGTTCCAACTTCACCGCATAATTTTATCGCGCGTTAATTTAACATTGATGTAATTAATGTAACCGTCTGCGTCTGTTGACACTTACACTCGATATTGTCAATTCCTGTTGGTAGTAATCGTAAAGTTTCACGTTCGCTGGCTCCAGATGATCGATAACAGTTTCCCTCACTACCGTGAACGAAATGCAGGTCTTCTGACCGGTTAGCTTGTCAAAATAAATCGAAACTACATTGTGGTCTTCCTCGAACCGTTTCACTTCTGTAATTCAAGTTTTAATACGGATTTCATGAACTCGCTTTTTTCAGTTTTACAATGTAATTTAATAATGAAATCTAAAATGTTAAGCGCAACTTACGCTTCATAGTAAGAATTCTTTAACACGTTGAATGTCGCGATTCACCGAGCAAAATACGCGGAATGGAAAAAGATATAATATTGAATAATTGAATTGAATTGTGTTATTGTTATTGCACGTTTACGTTGTTAAATGTCGTTGCACTAGGTAATATTGTTAATAATATAGAAATGTTTTCAAATAGTCGCCGTTTAATTGAGTGAATCATAGTAATTAGATTTGATTGGGGGTCACCGGTGACCCCCATGGCATTCAAGGCGTTAACATAATTAGTTTTTGTTTCTATTAGATAATATTCGGTAATATTGCTGGACTCTCGCTCTACTCACGATTTTCGAAATATCGAAAGTTTCACGAACTTGTGGTCTCTGTATTTTGCAGTATCAAGCATTGGTTCATTAAAATAAAAAATAAATGAATCTTACTTGTCGATGGTTTTCCTAGCAACGAATATAAACTTGTCCGATCTGGAGCATAACCGCTTATCATTTCAACTTCGGCTACAGCCATGTTACTTTCTTCATCCGCCATTTTGTAGCGGGCGCAAATCGTGATTTCTTGCACCGCACATTCGTTCTCGCGGATCCGAGAATGTGCGGACACCGAAAGATCGAACGCATCCGAACTAGTGGCGTGTGCCACGTTGTATTTAATGTTACTCTAAATTCGGAGAAAATAAACATAAATTAATATATAATACAACGTAAATATAATATAATAAGATGATTGAAGATTAAAGATTGTTACGTGTAGTAGAAAATTTATTTTATAAAATGATCGTCGCTTTAGAGCAATATTAATGTAAATATATAAAATAAAAAGTTGTTCAGATCAATGTCCTTCACAATAAGTATAAAGGTCAAGATTATCCGCGTAAGTCCCTTAGCACCTCGAAGACTTTAAAGAGAATTTAACATGGATAAATATTACTCAATTCTTTTGAGTTCGAATTAAACGTTAATCTTCTATTGTCAATAACTATATCTTGGAGCAAACATAGACATAGTAGAATATCCCTACAAGTTTTCTCTTTTCCCAATAAATTATTAACACGTTGAATGCCATGGAGGTCACCGGTGACCCCCAACCAAATCGAATTACTATGGTTCATTCAATTAAACGATGATTATTTGAAAACATTTCTATGTTATAAATAATGCTACCTAATGCGATGCCATTCAGTTACATCAACGTGCAATAATAATAATGCAATTCAAACAAATGATCTAATGTTACATTTTTCCATTTTGTGTATTTTGCTCTATGAAATCGTGCGGCAATCAACGTGTTAATGGCAAAGTTGTTGCATCGATTATAGTTGACAAATGAATCGTAGAGAAAGAAGTTAATGTAAATATTTACGAAACACAACGATCTCTCATTTTCTACAAATATTCAGCTGAATAGATCAGAGTTCAATGAAAAGTATTGTCTCACCTGAACTAACACACAGCCCTCGCCCTCCGCGAATATTTCAACGATAGTTGGTAAAGTGGGCAGTCTGATTTGCGTTAGGACCATTCGATTATCGTTATGCATTCTGTAGACCTGGTCCACTTCCGACGCTGTCACGAGGACAGAGAGATCGGTGTTGTTGACGTTCATAGCAGCGGCATATTTTGTTAGAGCTTCCAAGGCAAGGACCGTGTCCTGCGTGGACGTGAATCCTCCTTTGGCATTTCGTTGTTTCGACATCCAACGGACAGCCTTGAAAGCGTGCACCATATTCTCATCCCCGCCTAACTTGATTAACGTGAGAACCGCGTACGCTGTCATTTCGATGCTCAGACTTAGCGAGGGTTTAGATTTCTCCTCCCACCAAAGAAGATCCTGGAAATTATAATTTTTGCATAAATACTGAATCTGTTAACATATCAGTTAATAATTCTTAGCTTCATTTGTAGTTTTTTATCATATCATTCGGATCGAATGATTCCCTTTAAAGGCGATCGATAAGTTAGCACCGTGTGTATTATTAATAATGAATTCATCAAAATTGTTGTACTCGTGTAATAATTAGAACACGATGAAGCTTTTAATTGAATTGATGAAGTTTCTCATTCGCACTTTTCGATGAACTTTTGTAGAAAGCTTCTTTGCTTGATAGTATAGTACCTACTTATTAATACTTTGCACTCGAGAGGTGACTCTCAGTCGCCATTTGATTTGATATACCAAAATTATAAAGTCCATAAATAAGTGGAATATTGAAATAATAACTTTGTTTCTTAACTTATGTATGTTCTCTCATTCAGTTTGTTTCAAAGAATATCGTCTATAACTTATTGGAAAATATTGAATAATTCTTATGAAAGATTTCCGAGTGCAAAGGGTTAATTAGAGGATATTGTATGTTACGTAACGTGTCGGTTCGTACATTGTGTCGCGTGGCGCGATCCATAAGTGATTTCATCCAGTAGTTCGCTCTCGAATGTCCCAACAAAGCGAACGCGTACGTCGAGAGAACCGAAGCGTATAAATCTTCGTTAGTGTTGTTCATTCCATTTTCCACGCAATTCAACGTTTTATAAAGTTGCGGTGTCGGGTACAATATTCCAAATTCAATAAGGGAGATTAGAATGTACGCTGTCAGCGCTGTCGATGAACTGTCGTCTTCGAGACCACCCTGTAATAAAAGTACACATTAAATCGATTGAATATTTGAGATTTCTGAAGCAATATTGTGACAAAGATTGACAATGATTTTATACGTTTATACGTCTACTCAAATTGATTCAAAATCATTAGCAGAAAAACCTGAAACGCGTATTGAACTTCTAAATGTTAGAGAAAAAGAGAGCATTTATCTCTTACTGTTTGAATAATTAAATTCTGTGTATGTAACATTGCATTCCAAATATGAAAGCTTGATATCACCTAAATGACGACTGTTAATTCTGTGCTTTTGTTACATCGCGTCTCACGTATTCGTGTAGATTATAAATGCATAAACATCCGTAGGAGAGCAATAATGAATGTATATCAACGTCAGAGGAAAGAACCTTCATCGCCTTGTGGAACACTCTGCCTATCACGGGGAAACAGCCATTTTCCAGTTGTTTATTCATTAACCAGCTGGCGGATAGCGAAAAGTCATGCTCGTCGATGTAAATTAGACCACGAGCTTGGACGAATGATTTTAAGACGAACGCCGTTAACCATATCGAGCCTTCGGATTCTGAGCTCTGCCATCCGAATGCCGAATAGGAGCCATCCGGATGTCTATAATTCAGCTCCCTCTGATATCCTTTATCGGCAAACGAGTGAAACGGTTAATGATGTTCAATTAGCAGTAAGTATTTTCAAGATATGTGGATTAGCAATTTAAACACTTTATAATTCTACTTGTATAAGAATATATTTTATCCTTCTACTTGTACGACTATATACTTTATTATACTACTTGTACGACTGTATAGTTCATTATTCTATTTGTACAACCATATACTTTATTATTCTACTTATATAACTATGTACTCTATAATTTCACTTACACGAGTAGATACCTTATAATTCTACTCGTATAAGAATATATTTTATCCTTCTACTTGTACGACTATATACTTTATAATTCTTTCTATGGGTTAATGCTGTTGACTGTCCCGTTAGATACCAGTATAAGTCAATTATTTCGAACATTTAAGGACATAATCGAATCTACGAATGATTTAGATAAAAGAAAATGAAGGTACACACCTTTCTCCATATTCTTAATCGCTTTCGCTCTAAGTTCAGGATTCTCGATACCGACAGTTTCCAGGTATCTGATCACATGGATGTTTGGCACGAATAGGATCATGTTCTGTTCACCGCAGCCCATTGGTAGTCGCACGAGATCGTCCAAATTTTCGAGCGCTGGTCCCAGTATATCCCCTACCATGTTTACGTATGCCCTACCGCTGTCCGGAATAACGTCGTCCGGCAGTATCAGGTCCCACACAATCGTGGAATCATCGCTGAACTCCTTCGGGCAGATGAATGCCGACTTCGTGACTTCGATGGGGTAACCTTCCGGTAGAATGAGCACTGGCTTCACAATGACGTCTCTTAAGAATAAAAGACAATATAATAGCAATAGTAGTAACAACAGCAACACCACCATCAATAATAATAACAGCAACAATAAAAGCAATAGAGAGTACCTTGAAACTTGGTTTAATCTATTTCGAAGGGAATGAACTATCCATAAAAAAAACGCGAGGAGAAATAATCCAAATAATCCAATTAGTTCGAATGCAATCACAAGAAACAACTGCTAATATATACGTTAGGAAGAAATGACAAGATCTTCTGTCATGACGAGTATACACCACCATCAATAATAATAACAGCAATAATAACAACAGCAACAATAAAAATAATAGAGTACTTTGAAACTTGGTTTAATCTATTTCAGAAGGAATGAACTATCCATTAAAAGGACGCGAGGAGAAAGTGAATTAATAGTAATAATAATGATAACGATAGTAATAGTGACAATAATAATAATCATGAGATGGTAATATTCGTATTGATGGTTACGCTAATGTAATATGAATATTATTGGGTAGTTTAATTTTCGAAAATCCTCTGTACCAAAACGAAGTTTTGAAAACGGTTTATTGGAAAACGAATTGTTTATTGCTACTCGATTATAAGAATTCTATGCCTTTTTAGTAAGTGGTAAATATTAATCTACAGAATCAGCATAGTCCATCAACGATATTTCTACCGTAGGTGTCAAAGCAGACCTTTTGAAATGTTAACTTAAAATTCTTTCCTCAGTTTAATCATTGTCCCACAATTGAATTTCGGACATTCTCTATGATTAATTTTATAATTGTTATTGGAGAAGTTGAAAAGTCAATTCAGAATGTACGACTGAACTTTGAAAATAATTTTAAGTTAAAAATTCGAAACCTATCTTTCGACACCTTCGGTAGAAATAGTGTTAATGAATAATTACCGTGTAACGATCGACACTCCTGGTTGGCATGGATTGGCGACATTAGCGTCGACCACAGCGGACACTGTAATGTTAACTTCCCCGATGATCAGAGGTCTGAGAATGTACTCGTAGACAACGGTGTCCCGCGAATTCACGCAAAAGGAAGCGGTAGAATGCGACAGATGCAGATCGAGTCCTGGCGCCTCTTCTAGTGTAATCTTTACCTGTAAAATAAACAACACTTTTACAGTCAATTATTTATTTAATCACTCGCCACTTGATTTCATACAGTAAAACTATAAAATTTGATATTTAATATTATACTTCGTATAATGCATCAATTAATAAAATATCTTTGTTCCTCAATGTACGTGTGAATTCTCGTCGAGTTAGTTTCACAAAATATCGTCTTTATCCCACCAGAAAATGTTAAAATATTTCTAAGGAAAAACTTCCGAGTGCAGAGGGTTAATAAATAAATTACTAAATAAATTACTAAATAAATTAATAAATCAATTTCACGCGCGACTTATTTACCACAATAAATAATTCATCGAACTTACAGGTAACCGATGGTGCATATAATTGAAGAGTGACACCTTCATATGCAGCATTTCTCCGCGTTTCACACTGTACGGCAAGGTGTAGTCGAGGAAGAACTGTTGAAACGCTCTTATAGTGGTTGGCGGTGCAATACCGAGACCGTGTACAGGCGAAATACATGTTGTGTAGCCGATCCAGTCGGTGATTGTGTGCGGGAGAGTGCGTTCTATTGTAACTTTACCTTCTTTCCTGCGAGAGTAAATGTAATATAAGGGATGATTCTGACAACTGGATCAATGTTTCTGTTGTTGGATACGAAAAATGTTTATTTCGAGGTCCGTGGTAGTTTCTATGGATTTGTTTTATAAATTTTTGCAGATATTAAACATGGCAGTTAACGTGCTAAAGAAATTTGAAGAGTGGATCTTTTTAAAGCCACTACTATAAATATAATGGTTGCTAATTATAGAAGTCTTACGATTAACACTTACAAGCTAAAGAAATTCCTTTTTCGATCTGGCTCTTAAAACTTAGTTCACGAAAATAGGACACTGTATATGCATCCGTAGTTTACTAGTGGATATCCTTAGTAAATAAGATAGCACTCAGAAAAATAAATCAAAATATCCTTAGTAAATAATATACCATTAAGAAGACGAATTAAAATATTCTTAACACGTTCGCTACTAACGTCACATATTTGCGCGATGAAATGTAATTTCATGAAAATGAAATTAATCCTTAGATATTGTTATTAGAAACCATAAACGACGACATTATATGTAGGAACTCAATGACTCGTTTCAGTTTCATTTTTCTAATATTTCGTTTAGAAGATTTATTGGATTTAAGAAAATATTATAATTGAGGAACAAACTAATCAGTCGACATACCCTGTAGGTACTAATTCCCACAACCATGTTTCAGGGAAGTATGATCTCAATGCGGCAGTCGTATCAGCCAGTTGGTCAACGTAAATTACTTCTGGCCTACCACTGTCATGGGCAAGATAGTTTATCAATGGCACAGCTGTAGGTTGCATTATCCTTGATGCATCTGAAACAAACAAGCAAATTGTGAATGTTATTGCCAATATTTCACATTGTTTCCTTTCCTTCCTAGCTCTCCCTCTCTCTTATACACAGCGAATCTTACTATCGTTCATATCGAATACGTGAACTGAATTAACAGAATGCATTAACTACTTCTTCCGTGAACTTGACAAAAATCGACATTTTAAACAACTTCGATCTGATTCCTTGCTTATCACGATTGAAATTATTTAAAGTACATTTAACAGATTAACACGTTGACTGCCACGCTGGTTGATGCTCGGGGCTTCCAAATCGCTTGAGAACGATTACAATGGGAAAATCGATGTTGAATAAAACTATTTAGTAACATAAGTAGCTAAATAATAGTGTAACATGAGCACCGTGATACCGAATCATTAATCATTATTTCTAATACCATTTGCGTTCGTTATGACAGTGTTACTATACAAAACGTTTAAAATTCTCGTGGTAGGCTATAGTGTTAATATGAATACGCGGTGTAATACGAAAATATAGTATACTTGCCAGGTACACTTGACATTTGTTTGTAGAACGAAAACCGCGTGAAAGAGTCCTTATAGAAATGTTTCCGGGCTATATCACAGGGCCGTGTTATCACCAAGTCGCTCATTACAACTACTCGGAAATCCTATGGAAAGAATAAAGAAGATAAAGTACAAGACACACCTCGGAGCAACATGTAACACGATTACATAAATATGCAGAATTCCTTTTCGAGAAAACTGCGCTTTCTGTGTATCATTAAAGGCACCTCCTTATCCTCTATGAGAACGTATTAACACGTGTACGTCGAAAAATGATTAGTTCAGGAGATATTTCGACGATCTTGATCACAGTTGAGAAGTAAATCATAAGGCAAGCGGTTGATACTTTATTCAACATTTTATATTAAATTTTCCATTTTATAATTTTGCTGCGTTCAATCAAATGGCGACTGAAAGTCGCCTCTCGAGTGCGAAGGGTTAATACTAGAACTGTCGTAAGATCAGTGATTCTTAGGCATTCGCAAAGTCATCGAATAGATTTTTCATGCTGGAAACATTGGAATTTCTGACAAGTATCTTACAATGAAATCTTGTAAGGCAGCCACGTAGTTAACGCCTCTGTTCTCGGTCATCGAGTCCCTTTTCCGTCTTCCTACGAACTGGTCTAGAATCATTCTCACAGGATTGGGCAGGTGATCAATTTCTTCCATTGATTGTTCCGATATTGGCGCTGTAAAATCAATATCTATGAGTCGCGTATGCATGATTCTTGAAGCTAATCATTATCATTACATTAACACGTTGAATGCTGCACGATTTTATAAAGCAAAATTCACAAAATGGAAAAAATATGATACTAAATCATTTGATTGAATTGCAGTATTATTATTGTACGGTCTTCTAGCTGAATGCCACGAAATTAGGTAACATTATCTGTAATATAGAAATGTTTCCAAATAATCGTCGTCTCATTGAGTGAACTATAGTAATTCAGTTTGGTTGGGCATTCAACGCGTTAAACAAATATCGTATTGTTTTGTAATGGCAAAGCGATACGAGGATTTCGGTGACTAAACCTTTACGCTTCAATTTTGTAGAAAGTATTCGAGGGCGACTGACTGCGAAGATATAAGAATTTCATATTCACAGAAAAATAAACGGCACGAACTTGTGGAACGATCTGATACCTTTATTTAATAAAACTTAACGAAACTACTCAATCGTAGTAAAAGGTACAATTATCACACGATTCAAGACCGAATCAAGAACACCGAATTATCTCGAAAAATATTAGCGATTCGAACATATCAATCAAAAGTCACTGAATAGGAAATACTATCGTACTTGTGAACGTGTTAAATAAATCCCATAATACACTACCGATCAAAAATGTCGAACCACTTGATACATAACAAATTAAAAAATTACAAATTAAAAATTATATTCTATATATATATAAAATGAACTAACAAAATTTATGTATCTTTATATTCAACTAATACAAGTACTGCATGAACTTCCTTTATCATAAACAAAAATGCCCCAATAAAAGTTTACAAAACATGGAGATTCTTTTAACCCTTTCTACTCGAGAGGTGACTCTCACCGTACAATTTGATATACCAAAATCATAAAGTCGTACATATAATATTAAGCTTCGTATAATCCATAAATATGTGAAATATTAAAATAATAACTTTGTTTCTTAACTTATGTACGTTTCAGAGGATGTCTATAACTCATTGTAAACTGTTGAATATTTCTAAAGAAAGACTTCCGAGTGCAAAGGGTTAACCGATGTCGCAAACTTTTGACCAACAGTGCAGTCGCAACGGTAACCTACGTTTGCAGTGGAACCACGGTCGCACTGAATAGTTCGTCGGCGACGAATGGAACTTTTTCAGTTCATCGAACGTTCGAGTGGCGTCGATCAGATTGCTCCTCGAGCCAGCCATGAATTGCGTTGATTTGTCGACGGCGGAAATGCCGCAGAGCGACCAAGGTGCAGCCTCCACGTGGTACTGAGTAGCAGTACCCGGTATTTCGACATTTGTGTGCCAAGCACTTTTCACCTTGTTCTCGAAACAGTGGCCAACCTCTATCGTATACGTGGTTGTAACGACTTCCCCGTCAGCTCGTACGTAATAAAGTAATAGTTCCGAGACAGGGGCCATGCTAGGCGTGACTTTTACGCTTAACGGGAATCTGTTTAGAAAAAGATTAGCAGAATGTTTAGAGGATACAATGAAGATCCGATATCATCAGATTATTCGAGTCGCTCGGAAGCCAACTCGATTAACCCCTTGTCGTACAATAACGTGTGAGACTCGTGGTGGACATTTTAAATAGAATTTAACAAACACAAATATTACTCAATTCTTTTGAATTCAACTGAAATATTATTCTTCCGTTGTTAACCCTTCGTCGAATGTCGGCATCTTGCTGAGATCAAATTTCCATGTTTGGAATAGCAAGTTGCGAACAAATGATTGAACTATTCGAGCAGCGAGAAATCAGTACACAGTTTTCTTATTCTCTATGATTTAAGCATTCGCTGTTTAATACGTTGAGTGCCATGGGGGTCACCGGTGACCCCCAATCAAATTTATTTACATTAGTTCGCTGAATTAAACGATAATTATTCGAAAATATTTCTATATTATAAATAATGCCACCTAATGCGGTGACGTTCAGCTAGATGGACATGCAATTATAATAATGTAATTCAATCAAATGATTTAATATTTGACTTTTTCCATTTTGTATTTTTCGCGACATCAAATCGTACGGCATTCAACGTGTTAACTTAGCAGAATCTGCAGAAGGTTTTGTATACTTTCAACAATCTTCGTCCGCAAAGGGTTAATTATTACATTGTAGAGCAAACGTAGATATAGGATACATATCAAATTTTCCTCTTTTTCCTATCGCAGGTGAAATATAAATCACAGGGCAAGGGGTTAAGTCGATTTTTTCATATTTTCCGATTTTTGTCAATTTCAATGGAATAGATAATGTTCTTTTTAGTTATTCAAGGATTTACTCGTTTTTATAGCTTCTGAATATTTTGTACAATTTCAGAAGCTATAAGATTAATTTTCTTAATTTTTATTTTTTGAACTTAACTGCACTGGCTTCTGAACGACTCATTCAAACGACTTTGTCTATGTAATTTTCTGACTCTTCGAGTTTTATCGGAAAGTTTCCAGTAATAAATAAGACAACGAATACAATTTGTGATTAATTAAGTTCTATCGATTTATAAATGAGCCGCTCACTGGTCAAATCGATTAACTCCACTTTTTGCAATTATTAAGATTTTATCATTAAAGCGCCTCATTGGCTCTTAACCTTTTATATTTAATATAAATTTCATTATAAGAAAAACATTGCAATAATAATAGTTACTTCAAGAATATACTATTTTATGTAGTTTACATACCTGTTAGATTTAAACTATACCTATGTTAATCGAGTAGAATACATTATGATTATTTCGCATTCAATGTTTTTAAAATTAATATATAACTATCGCATCACTTTTCTCAACTTATTGTTTCGTGCAGTTGATCGGTTTGTCCAATGAGTGGCTCAAATAATAATATAAATCATTCAGTATTTATATAACGACACAATGAAGATATAACATAGTTGACAAGAAAAAAGCAAAATCAGTGAATATACCTATGTACAACGTTGCTTCGTTCCGTGTGGTTGTCCGGAGGGTCGACGGCGCCTAATATATTATGAAATTCTGAATAATTTAATATGGTGTCCCGACTGGGTTTGTGTTTCACGTGGCCGTGTATCAAAAGATCTCCTTTCGAATTAATCGAATAATAGAATGGAATGGACTCGTTAATGGTATTCTTCGACGATACTGTGTACATCACATTGAAAGAATATTTTTCACCGCATACGATAGGCTGATTCCCTCGAGCTACCGCCAAGTAACTGTCGGACGGTGAATACCAAGGATCTACATCGATACGTGCCGTAGGTTGATCCATGAAAACCTGATAGACGTTTATATTATCGATCAATTTTATCGTTTTCTATGAATCGATAATTCGTAATGTTAACACTATTTCTACCGAAGTAGAAATTTTATCTTACAATTATTTTTCGATTTTAGTCGTATATTCTGAAGTGACCATTCAACTTTACCAGTAACGATTATAAAATTAACAGGAAATGCCCAGAATTCAATTGAGAAATAATTATTAAATTGAGAGAATAATTTTAAGCTGAAATCTCCAAAGGTGTCTTTTGACTGCTTCGGTAGAAATAGTGTTAAGTTATATATTTTATTCAAATAAATAATTCTTATAAATTAATAAGTCATAATCTTTTCATTTATGAATTAATCGGTTAGTTCATTCATAATAGAAATAACGCACAGCTGTGGACAATAATTCGATTCGAAGGAATCTGTTCACGTTCGTACTCTCCTTCTGTGCGTTACCTTTAAGTAATTTAAGTTATTGAAGACTTCACGATTGATTTGATTTTCCGAGGAATTCGTACGATTGCACAACATTTTTATTTCGGGGAATAAAGATATTATGTAATTGTCATTGAAATGAATATATCAGTTGAAATTATTTTAAATCAAATTTAATGTACTCGAAGAGGATTTATTGCCAATGATTAAATGGATTTTGTTAATTATTTTACAATATTTTATATGTATAACGTGCAATAATAGGTTTTGCTACTCACCCTCCATCGGTCGTCCGGCGAATAATATTTCGTAGGATAGTCAACGGCGATGGCAATAAAATTCAATTGATCGATGCTTTTATGAGGCGAAGGTACGATAAAATCGATGAAACCGTCGACGGACGATCTGAAATTGCGACAGTGCACCACGTGTGGAAACAATTCCCCTTTTTCGAGCACTTTTAAGCAAAGCTGAATTTTCTCGTTTGGAGCCGGGGTATCATCTTGTCGTAAAACACGCAGCTAACAACCAAACATGAAAGTACAAGAATTAACATCCGTACAAATTCTGTCAATTATCATTTAACAACATTTAATCGAATCGTCATGAAATTCGAATGTAATTCAAATGAAAATGTTCTCCAGGCAAATGTGTTCAGAATATAGAATACAAATAGAATATATACCTATTAATGTGAGTTCTCAACAAAAATGTAAATTTAAATAAATTTAAGTAACAATTGTAAATTTCATTCTAAATTTTAAGGAACATTGGATTTGTTAAATAATGGTAACGCCTGTATCTTTATAAAATAATTGTTTTGTCATAAATTCTCTTTTCATGAATTGATCCACGAGAATTTGAGTTCGCACAAGTACTGATAAATTTGCTAAGAAGAATACCTTTCCATGGTAAGGCAAGCCCAACCTAAAGTATTTGGGCGTGTAAGGCTCGAATTCCAATTTTAATGCCTGATTCATAACCTTCGTCCGACTAATCGTAGTTTCTTCTACGCCAGTCCCAGCCTCTGTGAAATTCGCGATAAGTACAACGTTACTGGGAGCCACTGTGTAACAATCTAGACCAAGTTCCGTTCCAGTCAGTACAAAGTCGATACATCCGTATAGCGAGGTCACCTAAAACATTTGTTTAGAAATGAAAATTTCGTGTTTGATCAAACTTTTACCTAAAACTTAGACTTTGCTTCAACGACTAACGGCAAGCTTCGGAAACAAATTAAGTGTAAACAAATGAAATAATTATTTACTTTGGTCTCATAATTTTTCATCGGTGTTTGTGGAGTTGATTTCAGTCGCAAAGTACCTTTAACAGGTTTACCATAACTGTACCTGTAATATTATCTAATATTTATTATAAAATACAATTTTCATTATAAAATCAATTTAATTGTATATAAATCTTGCAATCTTATATATACATATATATATATAATAAAAAGAAAATATTAAATTCTCTTCTGTTACGATATTTATAGTTCCAAGTGCTACAGCCGAATACGCACTGAAAGATGCTAATAAAATTTGAATAATTACTTAGCGCAAACGGTCCACGTCACATTATCTGCATCAGCTAAAATATAGCCCGGTGATTTAATCGTCAGTTTGAACCTCGGCAGAACGTATTTCTTTACTTCGAATGTGGTCGTGTGGATTAGGTGTCGGTACGATTTCTTCTTCTCCACTCTGATTTTCCATGTTCCCTGGCATATATAACGAACATCATTCCAACAATTGTTTATCATTTCAATCCATTCTCTTCTAAATGCAACGTCTAAATGAAGTACAGTGGAACTCCGTACAACGAGATTCAAACATTTCGTGTTACAGGGTTCAATGTTTAACACGTTGACTGCCACGAGAATTTCTAGCGTTTTGAATAGTAAAACTTATTCCTTAATAACAAAGACAAATGATTTTGAAAATAATTATTAATGATTTAGTATTACAGTAGTCATATTACGCTACGATCTAGCTACTTGTGTTACTAAATATTCTTATTTAAAATCAAGTTTTTTATTGTAATTGTTCTTCAGTGATTTGGAAGCTCCGGTCATCGGTGACCACCGTGACAGTTAACGTGTTAAAAATTCAACTATTAACCCTTTGCACTCGACGATATTTTTCATTACAAACATTCATTATTTTCTGATGAAATATTAACAATATTATTTGCAACTTACATAAAGAAACGTATTACATAAATTATGGGGCAGAACTGTTTTATTTCTATGTTTCATGCGTTAACCCTTTGGCTTACAATAAAGTGCGAGACTCGCAATAAAGATTTTAAATAGAATTTAGCAGAAATAAATATTACCCAAATCTTGCGAATGCAAATGAAATATTCCGTTGTCAACTATTATATTTTAGAGTGAAGGTGGACATAGAATGTGCATACAATTTTTCTCTTTTTCCAATACATTATTAATGGCGAAGTTATTATATTGATCACAGTTGAGAAGTAGATCATAAGGTTGATACTTTATTCAACATTTTATGTTGAATTTTTTATTTTATAATTTTGTTGCGTTCAATCAAGTGGCGATTGAGAGTCGCCCCTCGAGTGCAAAGGGTTAAGCTGATACTTTGCTGGTACCGGTTTCTTATGGAAAATTCCATTTTCATAGTTATTTTTCGACGATTTTTTAAATCGCGTTATAGATTGTCCTACTGTACAACTGCAATAAGCTTCAAATGAACGTGTATAATATCTTTCGTAAATAAATTACACTCGTCTCTTTAAACTTATATAGTTTCTTACCGAGTTCTGGTCTGGTGACAAAGGAAACGATAACTGCGCCATGCCATTTTCCATATTCACGTTCGTCCATTGCGCTACCCTTATCTCTAATGGATTGTCAATCCATACTTTCGGAATCTATAATGGGAACGATATATCAATAATGAATTTTGTGTAATATAGTTTTTCATTATAGATCGTAAGTTCTTATTCTCTATTGCATTACTTTTCTTAAGAAATCACGTTAAATCAATATAGCATATTAAATTTGGTATTGTATCAAATGTTAAAATTAATGTTACTGCATACAGATTAAACTTGATACTATTTTTCTTATATAATTTAATTTAATTCTAATTTAACTGAAATTTTTTTAATTTCAATTCCACTTAAATTTCATTTGTTTCATTTGTCATAGAATAATTCTTTGAAAAAATAAATGCCGATTTAGAATGCAGAAAAGAACTTATGCGATAGATTGAGCCAATTTGAAGGTATTTTTTATCTCGTATGATAAATCAGTTTACCGACTCCTTCCAAGGCTTTAAATCGTGTTTAAGCATGAGGATCCTGATGTTCACATCTTGTCCCGGTTTATACACCGATTTATCCGTCTCCACGAAGGTGAGCAACGAATCGTGCTCGATGAAACATTTTATCTCGGAGTCGACTGTGTAATTATGATTATCGAAGCTTATTCGTAGCCGCAACCGTCCGCTTAGATATTTCGTTGACGGCACCATTAACGCCAAGCATGTTTCTGTGCCTGCACACAAATATTTAAACAAATGTACACACTTTCAAAAATTATTATAAATGTAACTAATACAAACAGTCCGAATGCAATCACAAGAAACGACTGCTAATATATACGTCACGAAGAAATGGAAAGATTTTGTGCTATGACGAGTATACTCGTCAAACTTTAAATTGCAATTTCAGTGAAACCGAAAATATATTCGTAAATTGTAGGAAGAATAAAAACATATAAATAATTATTATGAAAAAACTGTACATAGCGTGAACGAAATAAGTATTATAGATCCAAAATATTGATGTTTTTGTGAAGTGCCGTTATGTATTGTATCTTGCTTTATTCAATATCGATCAACAACATCAGATTGAACTAAACATTTTTCTAAGTAACTCATTTTTCATGAATCTTCGTCTTTCATATGCGAATTGTACATGTTTAAGTTAAGTAAATAAATAAATAATAGGAATAAAATTTTAAAAAAATAAAGCAATCGTTTCATTACAACTTAATTCTCTGTTATAACAACCACGTGTATTCTACGTTCGACGAGTACGGTCGTCATTTATTGTTTGTTACCCATTTTGGATATACACATTTCGAACAAGTCGCGTCAGCTAACTGGATAAAATGTGAGCGAGCCGGGACTCAATTTCGAAACGGCATTTCCTATAATATTATTTCCTTTGTTTTTCTGTTTCTATTGTCGGTCGGTCCTTTCGTCTCGTCTCGGACTCTTTAAATAAATCGTAAATTGAAATTGTTGTCGCTTCCTGTGGGGGAACTGAATTGGTCGACTCCCTCTCTGGAGGGGAAATAAGCAATCGCTGGAATACACGGGAGACCCATTTATATTGTTATATACGGGGTGAATAACGAAGATTGGCTATTTAACCCGATCAAGGTCCGACTTCGCAGAACAGACTGCGCAAAATAATTAGACTTCAGTGGAGAACTCCGTTTGTCGGAGCACTCATGGGGATAAACGGCATTTCCAAACATGTGCCGTACCATTCCGCCATTTTCCTGCAAGCTGCGATCACCTCTCGTTACAGACAGCTGTAAGTTACGCGCTGAGCGTAATGACGAATTACGGTAGCGACAAAAACATGAAATTACCGTTTCGTGGCAGTCGTTTATGGTTTTAAATGTTCACGCTTATTTTCCGCGAGATAGCTATACTGTAAGTGAATAGCTTGTAATTATAGATTCACACTAACGGTCAACGGTAGATCACGATCAGTCATAGTCAACGATTTTATTGAGGCAGTCGTATTGAACGATTAAAAGCAATTAAATTATATTGTATATATTAATATACAATTATACATATTAATATAGTTATAATTATATTGATATATATTATATATATATATATATAATTCAATTATATTGTTATGTTGTATTAAGTTACAGAATTCAATTCTATTCCATTAACTCGTTTATTTAACTCGTTTATTCAATATGTTTCAGGGGTCTTTAATCGCAAATAGAAATGCTTCCAATTATGTATAAGAGAGATCAAACTTCTACTTTAAATATAAAATGTTAATGAAATAAATAATATTAATTTAATACGTCTTCCGCATAGAATGTGTTAATTATTCATCAGCCATGATCCTCTTTATTATAATATTACAGTAAATTATCAATTCTTATAATTCTATAGTGAATTATTCACTTTCGTAATTGTATCGTGAGTTATTCATTGTTATAAATCTATCGTGTCTTTATATTCTATTATAATTTATAATGTTATCACATATGCTTTCGTTGGGTTACATGTTATTTACATTGGCAACGATCACGATCGGTTTTGATTTGACTTGATCTAACTATACTGATAACCGCTCGTGTGAATCAGGTCTTACGGTATGTTTATAGCTGCACGGAGAGCGAAACGAGGAAATACATTTTGTTTTAAACGAAAGCGTTTATATCGAAGTGACGCGAAGCATAGAGTTACATTCAGTTAACCTATGAACGGTGCAAACGTGAATCGACGCTCTCTTTGCTTCCATCTATTCGTCTATGTATCTGCAGCCCCTTTGTAAACATATCATCCCCTTCAAACTCTGTGAACATCTCACTGAAGTGTCTATTTCTCGTCTTATCGACTTACAGTTTTCTATAGTTACTACAGGTTTATATTTTTTTTCTATAGTTTCGTGTAGTTTTAAATAACAAGGGAATCCAGAACTGTTTAAAACGTCCTCTGTTCATGGTGTTAGCAATAAAACACTTCTCCGCAAAGGAAAATAAAAGTACAATTGATTATAAAGAAATGAATATTAAGATACTTAAAAAGCTATTGAGGAAACCTGTCATCAGTATAATCACTTTATTTAATGAAATTATCCGTACGAGGTATATCCTTAATCAATGGAAGATTTCAGAAGTCATTATAATTCTTAACCCTTTGCACTCGACAATATTTTTCGTTATAAATCGTTAGGAAATCTTATATAAACTAAGGGTTGGAACTAATTTATTTCTAAGGTTCATGTGTTGATACCTAATAAAAAATTGAATATTGAATTTCAGTGTATTGAATCAAATGGCGAATGAGAGTCGCCTCTCGAGTGCAAAGGGTTAAACCAACAGAAATTTTTGTTGTAAAAAGATTAAAAATTGCAATGGACAGAGGCAGACTTATCTTCTATTAACAGTTTGATTTCAGAGACAACGACTCAACGATTGAACAAATCATGGAGTTTAAAGTGCGCTATTAAAATTATATCCGGGAAATATTGAGATTTTTTAGCCTATATCTCTGATACTAATTATAAGTCAGAACTGCAATTATATGAAGTAGTCAGCGGTGAAGATTTTAGACAGGATTCAACAGGCATCGGCGTTACATGATTCTTGTGCATTCAGATTAATTGAATAAAATTAAATATGAAATATTATACTTTAGAGCAGACATGGGCAGAGAATATACCTAGAATTTGTCTCTTTCTTCAATAAATTATTAATGGTAAAATAGTTGCATCGATCGTGGTTGAGAAATAAATCGTAGGCTAAGGGGTTAATACATTTGAGGATAATTTAACTCCATCAGGAGTCGAGACTTCTAAATAATTATAATTATAATTAATTATCGTAGTCTTTCGCAAATATCTCAGAAAGTAAGGCGATGGTAGACGTGTACAGGGAAAACTTATTAAAAATTACGTTGCTGACAACATATTTGTCAAGGTTATCAAAGTCAGCAATGTAAATAATTAGCATTATTTCTGGGAATCTCTTATCGAAGCGATACCAGTGAAACAAAACGCAAAGGTCACTCGTTCGTTACATACACGAGAGGTTAAAGGTCTAGATTCAGTGGTGAATGATAGCGGAACTATTACCGTAACAATTCATTTTGAGTAATGTACACGAAAGATATTTGTTGTAAGAAAAATTTCGCGTAACGACGATAAATAAATTTCAATGATTATTTAACGAACATTATTGATATCAATGGAAAGACTTTTATCTTATTTTTACGGTCTACTTTAAATGGAAACTTCAATTCATTTCGAACCATTAATGTATGGACGATTGTCGACTATTAGAACGTCAAATCTTTCGAATATTCAACAAAAATAAAAATGTTTCTTTAACAAAAATTATGTGACTCGATAGCTTATAATTAGGATTGAATTATTGGATATTACTAAAGTTTCTGAAATATTCGGGAACAACTTGTGCGTCTGACGACGAACAACGAATAACTACTTCGAGCATGTTACAAAGTTATAAATCTTTTATCATTCTTTATACTTTATACTTTGTTATATTCATTTGTGCCATTCTTCCTGGCAGACAAGAATATTCCAATACTATAAGAAAAATCAAATAAGAACCTTTCGTTACGCAAGATTTTAAAATGATAAACATTATCAAAAATCTATAGTTTTGTAACGCAGCTTTTATTATATAGGACTATTTGCATTTTCTTGGCGGCGACAAACAAATTAAACTTAACTTAACAAATGAAACAAGAAATATGTAATCGTCGATGAAAGTTTACTTCCTCAGCGCTTATTGAAACTTTACATTTAATATCAGTTAAGTTCAAATTTCATTGTTTTCCTAATACCTTTTACGATTGCTTTTGTTTAGGTGTAACCTTTTGAGTACTGAATACTCCCAGCTGAAACGTTCCGTACGGACGGAACATTTTTTCACGTATCTTACCGCCTAAATCTCGGTGGACTCTGTTAATTTGTGCAAGGCGTAATTAAATTGTAATCATAGTTCCTCGGTATACCCAAATTGAATAATGCTAAGAAACGTGTATATTTATCTTGTACACTTGTAATTGTCACTCTGGTACATCAAAGATACCAAAATGAGATCAAAAACATCAAAAAACATGTATATACGTGCGTAGCACTCAAAGGGTTAATTACCCTCTCTCTGTGTATAGAGGCGCAGATGCACCTCTGGCTGATAAAAATGTAAATAAAAAATTTCCAAAATTTGCCTAGAAATGCTATCTGTGATAGCATAACATTTGTATAATTTTGATTGAAATCGATGAATTTCAATGTAGTGGTAAATTCGTGTGCAACCAAATTTTATTCTTTACATGTTGCACCGGAAGTGCATAGGGCGTGGTTACACATCAGTCCATAATTAACGTTAAAATATTTGTATACAGAGAGACGACAATTCATTTTACAATTACCTGTTTTCAAAAGATTGGAGGTAGTCGCTAATAGTTCCGTTTCCTTGACCCACGATGGGGACAACAGATCGAGGGTAATAAATGCAGGTGGTTCCAAATTGTGCAGAGATAGACATCCACGCTCGACTTCTCCGGCTAGAAATACTTTCGGCGCCATGAAAACATATCCCCTGAAAATAAAATAGAATCAGCGCAAATAAGGCACTTCAGGTGAACGATTAACAACTTCCATTACTCGTTTAGTTCAAGAAAACTGATTCATTCTGATGAATCTTATTAACACGTTGACTGCCACGAGAATTAGGAGCGTATTTGAACAGGGGCAAATAATATTAGAAAGAATAATTAACTATTTGTTATCACAGTACTCAAGTACTACTATCTAGCTGTTAATGTTACTAAATATTTTTATTCGACATCGATTTTCTTATTGTGATTGTTTTCAAGCAATTTGGAAGCTTCGATCATCGGTCACCACTATGATGGCGGTCAACGTGTTAAGTTTATTCGTAATTCGTAAACGACTTTTGTTTTCTTGTTTCAAATGTATATATTGAAGCTGATCTGTGCTGTTCATAGTTTTGTTTGATCACGTATAACTGTGCTGATGAGTAGTGAATCAGCATCGAAAATGAGATAAGGAAAGATGAAAACTGACAATCAGACGTGCATTCCTACTAGAGATCAACTACTGTACAGCAAAAATTTTACTTATTTTTTACTCATTTATTTATGTATCTATTTCTGGCACATTTTGCACCATTTAGTAATCATTCACAAATATTCATGAAGCTAGTTATTCATGATTCAATCTAATAACACGGTGACTTCTATGGAACTTCTAACAAGACAAACAAGTCAATTAGTAATTGTGTGCATATGTCTCATAAAAATTAATATTACACACTAAACCTATTTTAGTGTTTTATCGTCTATCATCCGGATAATATTTAGCCAAGGAAGCTTTTTGAATTCTTGATTCCCCATAATTTTCAAGTACGGATTTAAATCTATCAATAATGTTGCTAAAGCCAGCCGAAATATAAAGTAATCTTTTGAAAAGAGCAGTATTAACGAGAGAAAATTGTAGAGTGAAATTTTCATCTTCAAAACAAGTGTCGAATAATGTGTTTAAGTCGTTGGTAGCAATGAATTCACATTTATCATTGAGAGAATAATATTCCAACACTTTTCTGGAATTGGAAAATTATCCAAAATGTAAAATGAGTACCACATGAATTAAGTGAACGGAATAAGCTTGATCGACTGGATATTTGTTCATCTCTGCTAACCCGATCCATCCGAGAGCCACTTTTCATGACAATCAGCTCAATGGCTGATAATTAGCTAATAAGAGCAAAGCACCTGGTCATAAACCGAAACCAATTTATTGATGGAAAGTTTTATTGACTGTTTGGCGGTATGTAAATAGAGTAATTCGCCATTCATATTTAAAAAGTGGCGAGTACATTGGCAAAATGCACGAAAAATTTAATTCTTTGCACTCGGAAGACGACTCTCAGTCATTTGATTTGACGCGGTGAAACTATAAAATCTGATATTTAATATTGAACTTTGTATAATGTCTTGATGCGTGAAATATTGGAATAAAGTATCTTTGCTCCTCAATGTACTTGTAACTTCCCTTCGAGTTAGTTTCAAGGAAAATCGTCTTCGCCTCGTCAAAAAATGTTAAACATTTCTAGTGAGAAACTGAGAGAGTGCAAAGGGTTAAATTTCTATAGCTATCATCGATTAATCGACCTGGGTATATAATTCTTCGTGATAACGCTCGATCGTAAACATCACAAAAAGCAGTTACAAAATAGAGAACGTTGTAGTACGAAGTTTTACAACATTCTTTCTACTATTCAGCTATTCAACCCTTTCCAGCAGATTTTCACTTCTTTGAGCATCCTTTCTCACGAACTCCTTTTACGTAATTAATATTTTGAACATAAAGATAGTCTTAAAACCGCTATATAACAGGGTTTATTAATTCCGAAGATAAGAATTGCTTCAAGAAAGGCATTTATGTGTTCAAATTTTGTTATGGAAACTCTATTGAAGCAGATGGAGTTTATTTTGATTAAATACATCTATTCTGAAAAGAGATATGAACTTCTTAATATTTAATTAATAATCCGACATTTCATATGCAACTATTGAATAGTAGTTAAAAATTGTGTTTTGTTGTAAACTATTCGATCGTGTCCAGTTAAAGATAATACACTGTACGGCATAAGAATATTTATAGTCTAATTTCAATAATGATCAGTGCAATATCTTTGATGTACAATTATCAATACAATAATTGTCAATAACAATGTAATCTTCAATTATGAATTAACCCTTTGCATTCGAGAGACGATCCACGGTAATAAAAATTCTAAAGTTTGACATTCAACGTTGAATTTTCTATAATATTATTAATACACGAAATAATATAACGAAACAGATTTATTGTTTAATTTACATATGGTTCCACACCACGTGAAGTGTACAAATTGTCACAGATATTTCACCAGGAAATTAGAAATATGTATTTCGTTGATTACCACAAAAAATATCAGCGTTTTGTTTATCACTTATTCTTTCCGCAGCAAAGATGAAAAGGAAGAATTATTAATTATTTGATATCACAATTCATACGTTAAACTATTATCCAGTTATTCACACTACTGAACATTTGTATTCGATAACAGTTATCTTACAAGCTACAATTGTTTTCTCATAATTTTCAAGCTCCCCTAGTAGCACAAAAATATTGGTTTAAAATCTTTTCCAAATATTTGAAAAATATTTGTTAAGCCACACTTTTTAATATGAATAAAATTTTAGATCTAAATATTGTACGTATGTAAAATAACTGCAAAGTGAATATTCAGAAAATATCAACTAAATATTCGGAGAATATAAAATAGACATTTAAAAAATATAAAGTAGATATTTGAAAAATATGTATTTAATATTTAAATGACTAGATCTGGTCGTCGATAACCATCGTGACAGTCAACGTGTTAACACATTCACGACCGGCAAATTGTTCACTTTTCTAATACTCATTACCGATAGAAAAGAAGGAAATCTTAAGTTAATTGCTGCAAATCTCTGACGCTACAGGGACAAAAATGTCTTTTGAAATATTAATCGATCTGTTGTTTGAAATGTAGAACTTTCCATTAAAAGAAGTCACAAATGAAAACGAGCAGAGGAATAAAATATTCTGAAAGTGTTTGCATTTGGAAAGACGTGAATCCACGTCAACAGTCGCGAATGTGTTAACCATCGAGCGTTCTCAGAGCGCTCTCCGCAGTTTTGAATAATGAATAGCGCAAGAGCATCGACGTGTAGATAAAAGTATCAATTACCGATTATTCGATATAGTCGTGTTTCCTCCGAAGAAATGTGAAGACGCTACCGAACAAACGAGTAGCAACAAAAACACCTGTTTCTCCATCATATATGCTTTCAGACGTTCACACTGTTCATTCACGAGAAAACCATATCCGCAAACATGTTTCACGAACCGTTGTACGATTGGTCCCAAACGAATTGAATAAACGTACAGATACTTAAGAGTTTTCTGCGCAACAAAATTGTCTAGACCCGAGCAAGAACGTGACCGGTACACGTAGCTGTATGCTGCGCGCAGACTGAAAGCACGATATTCATTCGGTCCCTCTTATTAACCCTCTGAATAAGGAGAAGGGTTATGGAGTTCGACTGATACCGATTAGAGGTTGTTTTATATCATCCGTTCAGACACGGAACGCTTATGGAACGGTTCTGCTTTATTGTTGGACAAACACGTATAGAATTGTGATCGAATTATACTTTCAATGTTCAAAATACCATTTGTTCTTAATCTGTTAACGTGATAGCCGCTATAGTGGTCACCGATGACTGGCGCATCGAAATTGCTCGAGAAGAATTGCGAGAAAAAATTTGATATCGAATCAAAATATTTAATTATATAGGTAATTGACGTAGTGTAATTTAAGAACTATGGTACGAAATCGTTAATAAATGATACCGATCAACTTTTTGGCTCGAGAAATTGAAAATCTCGTTGAAATCACATTAAAAATTCGAGAAATAATAAGAAAATTAGGCGTTTGCAAGATGCAAACACTTCGTCGCAAAAGGTTAGCGTAAGAATCTTTAACTAATTGTATGTTACGAATGGCTCAAGCGACTTGTTCCTGGTTTTCTGTGGACTATCGTTAGGTGATAGGGTGTCCAACAGTTTGTATGAAGTTTTGTGAGTCACTGTATACGTATAAACAATCGTATCTTATTTCTCTACGCGTGCGTGTGTTCATCCATGCATTTTATGCGAAGAACAAATCAGTTGTTTTTGAAGGAAAAAGAGCGTTTTATGATGAATTCCTTGAATTTTATATAGTACTTACTTACGCAGCATCTAACTTAAACCTTGTTTATGTGACCTCGTGTCATTATTCACCCTTTGAATCATGTGTCATCGCGAATTCGATTACTTAAAGACCGTAGCATACTTATTTTGTGATTATCTCGTTTCAAAGGACTAATAGGACGACATAATAATAGTAACAAGTATTATTATTAATGTATTATTATATTATGTTACTATAATTATTAACACTTTATTATTTCAGAAAAGGGCTTTTCAAATAATAGAACACTCGCATTTCTGATACCAGTCTTTGTTATGTATTGTATATTGTATACAAATAGAAATCACCGTTTGCAATAAAATATTATAATACTTGCAATATAATATTTGCAATAAAATAATATAATAATACTTTTGCTACTACGATATATTATTGTCATTGTTCAAATAGCAGATTGAAGCGATTGGGAGCACGGGGTGCATCAGATTACAATAAGAATCCAACAGTCATTTGCTATCGCAAATTACATTTTTCACTTTCGATTTTCTACTTGCGCAAAAAAGGTTTAAACATTGTTTTTCATATTTATTATTAATACTCAAGTATTTTTATTCCTTCACTGTCAAACACAGTATGACCCGATACGTCTCGATCTACCCTATATCGCTGCCGAGATAAAAATTCATAGCGGCAATCAGTATTCGTCGCGTTGTACGATATGACTCATATCCTAACCCGTTATTTTATTTTATAGGAGTATTACAACATTACGATAGGTAACGAGTTGCTTTTTTATCGTGTTGCAGTGGAATTGAAGGCGATATGTACTACTTACACACGCAAAATGCCGTGTAATTGTATCAACTGTACGACAGTAATGCCTTCGCAACATTATCCTTTAACTTCTCACTATCAATATGTTCTTTTATTATTGTATACAATGCTTAAAAGTTCGGAATTATTCTGTGGCAAGAAAACTGAATTGGCAATCCAATTCTCTAACGAGGAAACGAAATATTGTAATTCTCGCGGTATGGGATAATTGTAAATGCTAACCAGCAAGTAAACGATACTGTAACTTGAGATTGTTTTCTTAATTATTATTTGTATTTTATTTACATTTTAATCCCTTGCTCTATGATTTATTTTCCAGCTGTGATCGATACAACCACTTCATCATTAATAATGATTGAAAGAAGAGAAAAATTCACTCTACAATATAATCATTGATAACGGAAGAATAACATCTAATTATAATTCAAAGTAATTGATTAATATTTATGTTTGTTAAATTCTATTTGAAATCTTCACCACGAGTCTCACACGTTATTATAAGGCAAGGGACTAATAAGAAACAGTAATCAACCATAAAGCATGGATTATTGCGAATATACTTCAAGTTATTAAATCATTAAATCGATTTATAACAAAATTGCAAGAATTTACAGAAAAATTCGGCGTCACCTTCAGTTCTCAAAAGATAGTGTAAACAAAAAAAATTCCTATGCACCGTTACGTTATTTTCGAAAAATAACGCAGCTTCTTTCTCTTTCATTTTTTTATAATATAAGAAAAATGCTGGGCAATAAATCCGTGAACACCCTATATAAGAATTTAAAAAATTTCTTAATATTCTATTAAAATAGACGCGAACGAGTACATTATAAAATAATTGAAATCTTTTCCTACGTAACAAATTGTAAGTATAAGTTTAATTTTTCACTGTTAATGTTGTAATCAATTTACTAATTTTTACAACCTTCAACATGAGATGTTATTATTCAAAAGTAAAGAAACTCAAAAGAATTTGAATGTATATAAAAGGTGGAGGGGATCTTGAAAGTAACGTTACGTTACTGAGTCAAGTTAGATTAAGAATTACAGTTCATTCGAAAGTCCACCTGTATGTTGACAAGCGTACATTATGCGTTAATAATGTCGAAGTTGCGTTGATTTTCATGTAGCATCATGAAATAATTCGTAGGAATGTCGATTAACAAAAGATTTACAGATGTATAATATAATTGAAACTTCATAGGTACGGAATCTAAGAGGTTAAGCTACTTGTCAACATTGAAAACTGTACGCATCTTGCGTGAACTGTCAAGAAGGATAAAATGTCTTTCCTACGTGGTTCCGCACATTTTGTCTGGTGTACAACCAGTGTTCTCGGGAAAGGTGCAACTGGTGCAGTTTTTCAAGGTGTAAATAAAAGTAATGGGGAACCCGTCGCAGTAAAAACTTTCAATCAGCTGAGTCATATACGTCCACACGACGTACAAATGAGGGAATTCGAAGTCCTGAAGAAAGTAAATCATGAAAACATTGTTCAGCTATTGGCGATTGAAGAGGAACAAGACGGTCGTGGTACTGTGATTGTTATGGAACTTTGTACAGGAGGCAGCCTTTTTAATATTCTTGATGATCCAGAAAACACTTTTGGTCTAGCAGAAAGCGAGTTCTTATTAGTCCTGGAGCATTTAACTGCTGGAATGAAGCATTTACGCGATAATAATTTAGTACATAGAGATTTAAAGCCAGGTGCGTAGGATATAAAATAATCAAAATATAATCCTTAAACCTATTTTGTAGTTGTCCTATTATGAAACAATGTATTATCGGTTCTTTTAAAGGTAATATAATGAAATTTAATGCTGATGATGGTAGGACAATTTACAAGCTTACTGATTTTGGTGCTGCTAGAGAATTGCAAGAAGACCAACAATTTGTATCTTTATATGGCACTGAGGAATACTTGCATCCAGATATATACGAACGAGCTGTTCTACGTAAACCAGTAGGAAAAACATTTGGAGCAACTGTAGATCTATGGTCGATAGGCGTAACGTTATACCATGTAGCCACTGGAAATTTACCATTCAGACCATTTGGTGGAAGAAGGAATAAAGAAACAATGTTTTATATTACTACAGAAAGAGCTACTGGTGTAATATCAGGTGTGCAAACTTCAGAAAATGGACCAATCGAATGGAGTAGAGAATTACCACAAAATTGTCAGTTGAGTGCTGGATTAAAAAAAATCGTAACTCCTTTGTTAGCTGGTTTATTAGAAGTTGATCCTCAGAAGATATGGAGCTTTGAACGTTTTTTCACAGAAGTTACCGAAACTCTGTCCAGAAAACGTGTGCATATATTTAATGTCCATAAAGGTAGTCTAATAAAAATCTTCTTGCATCCAGAAGAGAAACTGACAGCACTGCAACTACATATTCAAGATCAAACCGATATTGTTCCACATGTTCAAATCCTTTTATTTGGAGATGCATTTTTAACAAATATTATTGAAGAATCCACACCAGGAAAAGGTTACCCAGATACATCTGAAGATAAACCATTGATGTTGTTTTCCAAGGAAAATAATAATGTTGCTCTACCGATGGACTCTGAGTTACCCAAATTTCCAGTATTTGCAAATTTGGTGTCCGTAGAAAATGATGCAAGTCAAGCCAAAGTAGCTTGTTCAATCGGATATGTATGCAAAAGAAGAATAGACAAATTGGTACTGTGCAGTAAGTTATCACAAGATGCAATAAAAGCATTCAGTGGACTTGTTTCAACAGAACTTACAAGATTGTTAGAAAAATGTCAACATTTTAAAGAATTTACTAAAGCTGTAGAAGACACTGCAATAGCAGTAGAAAGAAGTGAGAATCTTGCTCGACAGATTTCCAAAAAATTGGGCATTCAAAACAGTTTAGAAACAAAGAATTGGAAAAAAGAACTAGATTTAAAGAGTAAAGAACTTCTGACTGAATTAGCTCCTGCAATAGTACAACTTCATCAAAGGTAATAAGCTCATATAATATATTTATGTTCATTATTATTTCACTGTAGTTCAAGACATGAATATGCATATCATCGGATATTAATAAAATGTTTTTACTGTAAGATATTCATTATTCGAAAAACAGGTATGTAAAAGAAGGTAGTTTGCGTGCTGGCTGGGATAATAATACTCGTGGATTATGGTGTCCATGGGCGAATAAAGCGAGTCAAAAAGCAGCAACTTTAGTTGACCGTTTACGAGACGGATGGCAACATTTGTTACGGGATAGAGCTACCCGTAGTCTTACATACAATGATGAGCAATTTCATGTACTGGAAAGAATAAAGGTATTTCAAATAAAACATTTATGTATAAAATAAATGCAAGAAAAGAGGAAATTATTAATAATAAAAAGTATTATTTTATTTTTGAATGTCTTTTCAGGTTACAGAAACGGGACAGAGAATAAAAAATCTTCTTGAAACATTTTGTATACCATCAATGATAAATAGATCTGAATATGTTGCCGATTGGTATAAAATTGCGCAAACCGTCTTCCTACAAACTCAAATATTAGATAAAGACGTAGATAACTATGAACAAGTATTAGAAACATATTCATATCGTTTATCGCAAGAGAGTAAAGAACATTATGAAAATATTTTACATTTAATCGATAGACTTCCAGGAAAATTAAAAACAAGTGAGAAAACTAATCAACCTACTCAAGAAAGTGCAAAAGTATGGAAAAAACTTTGTGTTACACAAGAAAGCCTTACAATGATTTTACATAGAAATGGGCGACTTATCGATCAGCTTGATCGTTTGTCATCGCTCGAAGGTATAGAGGATACAGATGATTTGGAATACATATCAATTTAGCAATTACTACTTTAATTTTTACCCTTTCTTTTACATTTTTAAGAATAAGACTGACATGTATAGCAAGTTTAAAGAACGCATATTGTTAAAGAATAAGTAATATAGTGTACCTAGATGTAAATATTAAGATACAATGTACAGTGTAAGAGTCACAAATTATTTTCTCTTACTAGACGAGGGACATATGATAAAAATTGGTGTATTATGTATATAGTCAATGTCCATAAACTATATTTTCACGTATTTGCAATGTATATACAGCACTAATAAATACGAATTGTGAAGTAGATCATATTGCTCAGTTACATTAGGAAAAAAACTATAAAAACAAATTGGACTTAGTACTTATTATATACATGTATATTGATTTAATACGGGTAAAAAAAATTGTAAATATGTCATTGTATTTATAGACATAATACGTTTATGCAGTAAAAAAGTATAGATATATACAAATACTAGTTTATCTTTATAGAAATAATTATGTATAATTTAAAATTTTAGCTTATGCAAATGTTACAGTAATCCTTTGTTCACATATTTTTCAATAGATTTTGTTGACCTGCGAAATGCAATAATGTATATGTAAAATACCACTTAGTAATAAAAAACGTAATTTTTATATTTTACTTTTCGAAAATATTTCTAATTAACGTGTTTTTTTTCTAATGAATATGTAATTAAACTTTACTTCATTCAGATAATCCTTAATTACAATTAATTCAAATCACTGTGACTTTTTAATGACAAAATGTAAAATTTTATTTTTAATTTTCAATGGTAATTAATTCAAATGATTGCGAATCAGTCTCATTTTACTCATAAAACTTTCATAAATACATGGTGTAAAGTAAGAAAATGTTGATACTGTATTTATAAAGCTATATTTTTCAATGCTACTTTGAAAAAATGGTAATCATTTGAAACGTTTCTCGACAAGCCTGCATTGCACTCATTATCAATAATTGTATTTACTTACCTCAATGATTAAATCAACCACGAGATCTAACCAACTGTAATAATTACTCGATTTAATTTTCCCACTACGATCAATGAGACATCAGCATCGTGAATATCGTAAAAAGACTTATTGTACTTATATATCATTATGGCTCGTATTTTTTTCAATCAAATTTGTTAATCGTTGTTTACGTTTTTGCTCCTTATGTTGTTCTTGAATAGTATGAAAATGTTTCAATAATTCTGGAAAGTCAAACATATCTTCTAAAGGTTTTGGGCTTGGTGTAGATTTCTGTACTGTATTTGTTTTTGGAGGAATCGCTGCTAAACGTCTTTGCAACGTTGCATATGCCTCACTCTGAGGAAGTATCATGAGTAAACCATAAAGTGCATACACTAGTGCATCATTTTCTTCCCTTTCAAGAAGTTGTAATCTTAAATCTGAAATGAATTAATTTAATGAATGCATAATTGTGATAAGAAATAATATTTCGTACTCACATGTAAATATTGGAGACTCAATCAATTGTACCAATTTATCGATTTCTATGAGAAATTCTACAGTAACTTCTATATTTTCACTATATTTAGTTTTAGTTAAGTAATATTAAAAATATAGTAAATTTATATTAGAAAACATTTAATAAAGAATTACATATGATAATAAAGGATACAATGATTTTATAATATTGCAGGCATGACCATAATGCTGTGACAGAAGGCATAAAGCAACAGTTGCAACAGGATTGTGACACCAGGATACGTATAAACATTTGAATAATTCACAACTTTCCTACAATTATGTATAGAATGTAAAAAATAGTTTAAATTATTATATATTTATATGTATAAGACTTACTATAGAATCTAAATCTTTAAGTTTATTTCGTAAATCAAATAGCTCTGAACTTGTCAATAATATAACATTTAAAGTTTGTATCATTGTGCAAGCAAAACTTAAGTTTTGTTCTTCTAATAATATCTTTGCCAATGTTTTGTAAATATCTTCAGCACTTAATAACACACATAATTCTCTTATAATAAAAGCTCCTCTTTCCACTAGCAAATTTCTATCTGTTGAAAAAAGTCTTAGCAAATTCACTATGAACTTAGTGAAGTATTTGTTCTGCATCTCTGCATTTAAATCTGCGGTTGCCGCTTCTGGAGATTTTGAACTAATTATTTCAGCCATTACTACTAATGTTTGTTGAACTACTTCGTCAGAATTATCGCTTAAGGATTTCATTAGAATTGGAAATAAATTTTCAATGTGAGAAAACATTTTATGTGGAATGTGAAGAAACAAATGATGAATCCATTTTAAAACCGCAACTTTTGTCTGAACCGACATATACATTAAATGCTTAGTTAATACTTCGACAACGCTAGGTAAATCTAAACTTTCCGCTAACGATCGATTTTGACTAGCATCTGAAAACATAGATACGTTCATTTTTATTGTCTTTTTACATAAGATGTAATTCATTAAATTTGAAAATGTCATTTACCTTGTGTAATTTGTGCATCATTTTCAGAGGTATTATTTACTTGTACATTTTCCATAGTTATTAATTTCATTAAGTTTGTATTTACTTGAGTGGCAGTTTCCTTAATACTTTTCCTGGTATCTCCATCATATGCTAAACAAGGTAGAACAGCTATAAGAATACCAGACATATAAGGAAGCATAAGAGGTCCAGATAAATGTACAAATTCCTTGATCCATGTGATGGCCGTTAATTGTAATAATTCGTCTATGCTTTGCGCGTGTGTAATTAATATATTTATCATACCAGGAAAATCCACTCTACTAGGATTAGTTTTTATACTACGTAAAAATTCACAGAGGACTGTATCTGTAACTTTTTTAATCTCTGGTGTTGGATCCTCTAATATTTTAAATAGACCATCAAGAATTTCAGGTAAAAATATAATAAAATCCATATTGGGTACAGCATCTAAGACAGATACCCAAGCTATTACAAATTGCCTACCAAATGGATTTTTGGTACAAATACGTTCTCGTAATAATGGCATAAAACCAACTAAATCGAACAGGCCACTTTCTGTGACGATGTCCTGAAATCACAAATTACAAAAATTCTTTCCTTATTGAACTTTTACTATTTGAAAAATTTTAATTACCTTCATAAGTCTATCGAGTAACTCTGTTGCATTTTTTACATTCTGTTCTGAGTCACATGCTAATTTACTAAGTGCTGCAAAAATATCTGTGAATTGTGGTAATACAGCACCTCTAGCTACCTTAACCACATTATATAAACTTTCACATGCGTAATATCTTACATATAAATCAGAGTCACAAAAACAAGCTAAAATAGGATGAATTAAATCTTCTATATATTGACCAGTGTCTTTTCCCAAACCTACTGCTATTGCTGCCAAACCTATTAAACCACCTTTACGTGTATGTGGGTTTTGTGAAGTGGCTAAATCTTGACCTAACACTTTTAATAATCGTTTAATTTGAACGGTATTATTATGAGCAGCAAATTCTTTGACCATTCTGAAAAGGGAATCATAGACTAAATAATAGTAAAATATTATGAGTAAATATGAACCAAATGTCAGTAAACAAAATCCATAACCTCACTTTTCTATTTCAACCGCAGCCGCTTTCCGTTTTTCGTAAAGTTTATCATTTAAAGAACGTACGCAAGCGGCACTGAGAGGTGCATAATCTCTGTCAGACATCATTTTCTAATATCACGTTTTAACTTTATGTAGTTAAGACCGCTTTACACCACAATTCACGTATCGTGATACGTGTATGATGAATATTAAATATATGTGCACAATGAAAACGTTCAAACGATAATTCTCGTGTAATATAATATTGCGATACTCATTTTAAGTATTCCGAAAATTTCCACCCCTTCCAATACTTTTCGTCTCTAGATTTTAGGCAAAATACTTAATCAAATTTTGCTATTTACATGACAACGACGTGATGTAGACACGTGGATTCAAGAATACAAAATTTTTGTCCAAAGAACGAATAATTGACAGAAAAACAAAAGAAATATATTCAATTTCCAAACGTGTAAATGTCTTATCCGTAGTTTGCTTGATATGACTTATTGTTAGAGTTTAAATTTTATGTATCGCGATACGTTTATCATGTGAAAGCGGCCTAAAGCTGATAAAAGTGACAGCTGATGCACAAATTCGAAATTATCAGCTGTTATCAGTATCTTTTAACGCATGCGTATTAGAATCCATTTCAATTTCTATATTACATGCAAATAGTAAATACATCAAATATTAAATAGTAGTATTTTAAAGTTTATTAATATTATTAATTAAAAATTATTTTGAAATGCTGTACACTATACAGATGAGGTATAGAATAGCGTTGCAAGTTTATGTAAAAAATTAGAGGTATTGCTCTGCCCTTTACGTCTAGAGAATGGTCAATAGGAAAACAACATCAAACAAAATGATTAATGTTGACCAAGTAATAAATATGGTAAAACAGTATATAAACCATGGATGGCGTCACAGTTACTCCGTGTGTACTCCCATATCGGTAACATTTGTGTACCAGTTTGAGTATTTTTCCATGAATGTCGCTACCAGTTAAAATCACAGATTTTCGAAAGCAAATAATTCCTGCCACAATATGCATTATATGGTATGCATAGAATGGCAAGAATGATTTGTTGTTTTGAAAGAATTATATATTATACTGAAATGAAAAAAAGAAATTTCCCACGGCGAATGATCGAGGTTTTCCTTTTTGAGCTTAAAACTAACTTAAAAGAGACTTATTTCCTTACATACTTAGGATTTCTTAAATTAATATATTGTAACATTACTTTGATGAATAGTTTTTTATTTATAGTAGATATGTAACAGTATTTTATAAAAGTGTTATCTTATGTATAAAATTTCAAGATGATATACATTTTAAAATATATTTGGACTTTTATTGTTTTCCATGCGATTTCACAAATGTTTTGTAATGCTCTTAATATTCCGTATAAACGTAATGCATTATTTCGCTTTTACAAACATATAAATAACTTATGTAATATAATGCATATGGTCGACTATATTGAAAAGTGAAACATTTGTTATTTTCCTTGGAAGAACTGTAGAAGCCAAAAAATGAACATACATATGTACTATATACATATTTGTACAAACGTACAAAAATTGTATTATAAAAATATTAAAAGAACTGAATAATACAGACGGCCTAGTAATGACAGCAAAGGGAACACATGTCTACTATATAAAATCTTTGGTATAAAGTTCATTATTGCATTCGCTTGTACGTGTACAAGTGAAAAATTAGTCTTCAAGAAAAAAATGTAAAAAACAGTTCTAAACAAGTCGTTAAATAAAACAATCTACGTATAAATGCACAAGTAGTATCCTGTTTGGCTAGCGATTCACTAGTATGAAATAGTATACTCTAAAACAGGCCTGGGCAACCAACAGACTGTCGGTCACATGCGATGTCCTGTTCATTGTTCTCTTTCTACCAATGATCCACCTATGCCTACTTGTAACGTGAAGGAGAAGAGGAAAAATAGATCGACTGCCTGTAGTTTCTTATCTTCTTGTTCCTCCATTGTATCACAAACAGGCATGGTGAGCATCTCTGTTAGGAGTTGAGAAATAGCGAGAATATCGCATGTGGTCCTCGAGCCGCTAGTTGTCTAGGCTTACCCTAAAATGTTTTGTTATAATTTTGTAATTTAAATTATATAACGTTTTACACAATTTAAGTACTCAGCTGTAATGTAAAGTAATCTTTTAATGAATAAAAAATCTTAATTAAATTTAACACTAAACGTACCGCAATCGGTTAAATGATCGGTTTTAAAATTTGATTTAAAATACTGCGTTTTCTTTCGTACATTTAAGTTGATATCAATTCCTATATTGTCCTCTATTTCTACTTCCACTAAGAAAAATCGATCATCTAATTTGTTCACTTTTATTTTATAATCAGTTATTCGACTGGTTACTTTAGAAATAGGTAATATAGTAGTATAATAGTAGTATAGTAATATACAAAATGTCACTACGTTTAGTGTTAAAGTTATGATTCTAAATACATATTCACATATTTAGTGTTCATATTAGCCAACATTCTCTTTCTATAAATGCATGTAAGGCACATGTAGTGATATGAAAGTAAAAATGAAATGATCGCACTTTTAAATATAGTAGTTAATAACGAACCACTACTTATGGCTCTAATTGTACACGTTTATAACAATCAACGGGTAAAACTTTTCTTATGTCGCTGATATTTTCGACTTCCATTCTTAATCTATTAACTTCGTCTTCATAATTCTTTACCCACTGCGTTTGCAAATTTTTTGCATCTGTTAACGCACGGATTCTTTGATCTAAATTTGCAGCTGCAATATCTTTTTCAACTGCAATCAGACGTTCTTCCAAATGATTCAAATCAGCATCATCTAAATTAATAAAAATATAGGTTTCAAGAAGTTCATGTAAAACTGAAATTGACTAAATAATTATTATAATAAAGTATTAACTAACCTATTTTTGGTAAGTTCTCTAGTTCTTTTATAATTTCAGCTACTTCAGCTAAAGCTTTGTCCACTTGTTGCGATGCTAATGTTACGTTGATTTTTACTTGACCAACTTTGTGATTTGCCTGAAAAATATAAAATAGCAATGTTTGTGGTGTGCATTTAAACAATTTATTTAAACATGATAATATATGATTGGTATCTTACTTCTGTCGTAATGTTTGTGTCCTGACCAATTTGAATCTCATACTGTTGCATCATGGAGTCCGTGGTGTCAACTCTAAGATGTAATTTTTCAGCCTCGTTTCCTACACGAAGCGCTTCTATTTTAGTTTTATTTGCTTCGATTCTAATGTCGTTTGCTTTAGCACTAGCTTCTTCTGCGTATATCTATTATAAAGATATTTTCATTTAATAGAAGATAATTTAAATTATATTATACCTGAAATATATAATTAATGTACCTGAGCTTTCTGAGCAGTTTCACGAGTATATTTGGCATTATCTTCAGACCCGCGTAATATTTCTTCCGCTTGTTCAGTTTGTTCAGTAGCGTATACAATCATTGCTTCAATACTGCTAATATTTTTTAAAGCATCTTGTGCTCTAATACGTTCACGTTGAACTTCAGCATCAAATTCTAAGGGACAACATTATAATTGAATTAAATATCATGTCATTTCATTACTAATAAAATAATGTTTACTGAATGATACATACCGCCTAATTTTTTCAAAGTTTCTTGAGCTTCTTTCAAGGTTTGATCGCCTCGTTTTACAGCATCATTTACTTTCTCATTAGCTCCGTCTAGTTCTGCCAAAAGTTCAGCAGTAGCTGCCTGCTGATCTTGTGCTCTTTCTATTAATTCTTCACTTTTTCTTACTTTTTCTACCATTTCATTTATGAGACTTCCGTGACGATCTAGTAACAATTGTGCTTGTTCTTTTAATCGCAATCCCTGCAACAATACTTCTTTGTTAAACAACAGATATCTATTTATGGGTACAACATTGATTGTCAATTGAAATTTACCTCCATATTGACATCTTCAACTTGATTTCGTAATTGCTCAATATTAACGGCTGGAAGTGTTAAATCTAAAATCAATAAATCTATCGCTTCTTGTGACACAGTGGACGATTTATTGGCCGCTATGCTGGTAAGATTCTTCACTTCGTCCATACGATGCTCTAATAATTCTAATTTATTTTCTAATACTCGAATGTCTTGGCTAAAAATAAACCATTTTTATAGAAAAAGTTGTATATTTCATTGAAATAACAATCCTTAACATTTAAAAAAAGATATTTTGGAAAATGCAAAAACACGTACGTCAAGTTAGTATATTTTGATATAGCTTTCTTTGCAAGATTGTAAGCTTCTATAGTTCTATTTCGAGCTTGTTCCGCCAAGTCATGAATCTTCATGGCTTCATTGACGTTTCTGTAAACAAATATTAATATAGAATATGAAGAAATAAAAACGAAAATACACAAGTGTAAGTTATTAAATATACTAAAAAAGTTTAAAAAGATCATTGTAAATATTTTAGAATAAAATATAAAATTTTAATTTGAATTTAAATAATATGCGAATAAAATATTGGAGATACGTTTGCCAATTACAAAATAATACTACTGGTTATAAACAAATAGAATTTTTTATTAAAGTAAACATGGAAAATATACAAATTTCTATCAATGATAAACGTTTATAGTAAACCATTACTTACTGATCAGCTAGTAAACGCGCTTCTTGTGCGATAGCAGTCATTTGTTTGTTCTGTTGGCCAACTTGTTCCGCACGGAATTTTGCATCAGCTAAAGCAGTTGCTCCATCCGTGGCTAAATAATCTTCAGCTTCCTAACATTGAGAATATTCATTAACATTCAAATTTTGATTTTAATTCAATTCACCCTCACAAAAAAGACATAAAAAGGTTATGCTTACAGTTAAGTTAGTGTGGATTTTATCAACTACTTTTTGCGCTTCGTTGATGCTCGTTAATCCTTCAGAGGTAGTTTTTTGCGCCTCGGAAGCAGTTAAGTCTACCGCCTTCGAAATTTGATCGATTTCATTCAACTGATCACGTAATTCATCTAATTGCTCCACCAACGTTTTATTTTCACCTATAACATTTACATGTGTAATCTTCTTCAGAATTCAGTTTAAAAATTAATTATTCAAATCACGCTCACTGCCAGATCCTTGCTTCGCAATACTCAGAAGATTTTTCACTCTATTTTGGATTTTCATTAACTCCTTTTCAAATTCATTATCTTTTATGACAGTTGGACTACTGTTGATTTTTTTTAGCGTATTTTCCAATTCAGCCAGACGTTCCCTGTGGCGATTGACAGCATCTTGAACGAGATTATAACAATCTGGACAGTCGACACAGCCATTTTGCCTGTTGTGTTTGTTTTCCTTACAACGATCGCAACGTCTTCCTTCTACATTTGTGAAACACTATAATAATAGAATAAATTACTATACTAAATACATAATACGACTCAGGTCAGATGTTAATATTAAATAAACTTACTGGACACTGTCCATTAATATCACACTGTAAGTCTTGAGAACCAATACTATCACAATCGCAAGGCTTGCAACCTTCCCTACTGAAACCATATTGATAAGACAGGCATTTATCACAACGTTGACCGGTAACACCTGGTCTGCATTCACATTGACCATTAATGGGATTGCATGTACGATTATAAGATCCTTCTGGATCGCAATTACAAGATGCACAACCCTAAAATGAAGATCATGTTTATAATATATGTCCTAAATGATAAATAGTTATACTAAACAAATTCATTACCAAATATGAATATGACAAATTTTAGACAATGAGTAAACAAATAAATAAATAAATAAACATATGTATATATACCTCCCCACTCAGTATGTGATAATATCCTTCCTCACATTTATCGCAATTTCGGCCAATCACGTGTGGCTTACATTTGCATTGCCCAGTTAATTGTTCACAAGGAGCTACCCTTCCATCGTCAAGTTCAACTGTACCCGGTGGATAACACTGACACAATCTACAACCATCCTCTCTGCGATCAGACAGCGCATCTCCGTAATATCCTGATGCCAAACATTGTTTCAATTAATTTTCATTATTCGAACTTGCGTAAAATACTTTTAAGAATTTAAGTACCAACTTATATGTTGATACCTGGAAGACATTCTTCGCAATAGAAACCAGCCGTATTATTAACACATTTGAGACATTCTCCAGTTTCTTGATTGCAGTTTCGAACAGCGTTTAAATCGATATTATTGTTACAATCACAAGGTCGACAAGCTATGCCTCCCTCAGGATTACCAAAGTATCCATCGGAACACGTTTCACACCTTGGTCCTGAAAATAAAAAGTATTTATCTCTTGTCGAACAATGCATACCAGAATTCTCAGAATTTCCTGATTCTTACCTGTCCTGCCCGACGGACATTCAGAACAAATAGGATCTGGGTTATTACCAAGCAGTATGCATGGTCCATTATCAGGACAAGGGCAAGGTTTACAATCATCAGGCGTACCTTTTAGTGGGTGACCATAATAACCGCGTTTACATAATTCGCAATTACTACCTGCTGTATTATCCTGACAAATGCACTGACCTAAAGTCGATCAATAATAAAGTAGTACAAAGTCTTAAATAAATTTTTAGTTCAATAAACGTATTTTAAATAGATACCAGTTTCGGCTTCACAAATATCTGCGTGTCCATTACAGTTACAAGAAACACATAGCGCGAAAGGACCACCGTTTGGCGGATCATGATGGAATCCAGGTGCACAAGATTCACAGAATTGTCCCACGTATCCAGGGGGACATTGACAGTGCTCTACCCAATCTGCAGATTCGCCTGCAGCTCCCCGGTGAGCCGTTTCCAACTTAACGTCATCCAAAAATCCTCTGTCTACAAGAATAAAGTTGAAGGTATAACAATTTTCATTAAGGTAACGAGAGTTTTTACATTTATAATTTGTTATTACCTTTATGAGTGTAAGTTCCACGAATTTTTATAGCTGACAGATTGGACAAAATGGACATGAACGCTCGAGAAGACAAACGTGGTTCCCAACCATACTTAGGATGTTCGTGAAGTTTAAAACGGTATTCTTGCGGCTATGTTACCAATTAATTTATTATTAATATTTTATTTTTAATTTGTAATTATATAATCAAATATATTAGGAAATAAAACTGTTATTTCCAATGTCAAGTAATTAAACCGAGTAAACAGCAAAAGGAAAGAAACCCAGAATCTAAGTTAAGCTAGGATATGAGTAATAATTTTAGAAATGTTAATAGATTGGTACACTGTGTCAAAATTAAATTACCGTAACTGTAGGTAAACGATTATTCTGTCCAAAAATCGGTTGTGTAATTTGTTCACCATTTCCTCCTTCCAGTATTATATCACGAACTGTAGGTGCAGGACCAGCTTCTGCGATTCTTAATGTAAATGATAAATCTTGATTGTATGATGCTCGTTGATCACCAAGGAATCTGTCTATAAATAATTCCTTTGGCATTAATATTTTTTTCATTATCTTTCTCTGTTACATGTAAACTTGGCTTTTTACATAGGTATTCAAAGACATACAAAAAATGACGTTTATTATTATTGCAATAGAATATATTAAATGCTATGTATCATATTTACCAGGTGCAACGAAATAAACGTTGTCTCGGTCCAATGCAGTAACAGATATTGTTTGAGTAAAATGATCATAATGAAGAGGTACCGTGTTTCCAGCAACTGTGGCTGACCACCGTTCAGTTCCTCTCACAAACATGCTTTCAATTACAAACTTAGAATAACCAGTTGCAGATTGGCATACCGAAGAATGTCCGTAACAGAAGCACGGTGTACAACCAAATTCGTTGTCAATTGCAAGGTTAAAGAATCCTGGTCGACATCTATTATAAAGAACATAATATAAATATTATTAGGATAAACTGTATATAACATTTTAAATAAGTAAACCACTTCAACACACAGCTTAGTACAATAAAATCTCAATTGTTTTATTATCGACTTATTTGCCATCTATAAACCACTGTTGAAAAAGTAAGTATTCAGTCATATTTTTCTATCAAGTTATACAATGGAGATTTTATTGTATTACCAAAAATTTCGATTTTGCGATCTGTACTAACTTTGGACAACGTTTCCCTTCAACATTTTCTTTACAGGTACAAGTACCAGTGGTAACATTACAATTTGGAGTATTATTCAGGGAACCAGTCACGTCGCATTCACACGATATGCATCCGTAAGAACCAAAGTTGTAGTAATTAGCAGCACAACGATCACATTTATCTCCTGTGACCCCAGGTTTGCATTGACATTTTCCTTCACTGTTACATTGTAAACTTCTAGATCCTGCAATGTATTTAGTTCAAATTAACTGTTTGCTAATGTACTACATGAAAATCTTGTATCTAAATTTTAAATACAACCAAAGGTAAAATACATTGAATAGATTCTTTGATTAATACTTTTTTCTTATTGTACACTTGCAAATGCATAATGTTATTTATATTGGTTAGCTGAAGTCTATCTACCTACATTTTATTAACTATATTCACAAAAGAATGGTACATAATTATGAATCCATAGATACTTTCTTTGTAATTGTTGTTTTCTTAATGTTACGTTTTAAAAGGAATATTTGATTTTCATTCTCTGGCTGATTTTCTTTAAATAAGAATTAAAGTATAAATAAAAATTATATTAATCGTTTAATTTAAAAATCCCACTAATTGCCGGTAGCTAAGTTGTATATTATATTATCCATTAATATCCCAAAGTTTCCTTTAATATTTGTATATTTAAATTAAAAACACTGTTAATAAACAAAAGGTATTGTATCAGTTTACCTATTTCGTTACAATTACAAGCAACGCAGTATTTGTCATCCGGATGTTGGTAAAAGTTCTCTCGGCAACGTTCACAATTCGCGCCGTCGCGATTAGCCCGACAATCCAAGCAATGACCACCGTGGCCAGTTGTTTTATACAGTTCTCTATCAAAATAGCATCTCTCCGAGTATCCATTGCAATTGCAAGCTGAAAAACAATGACATTCTAATTTAGTTAAATTAATCTAACAAGTTGAAACAAATCATACATTTAACAATACATTCTAAAAAAAGGCAAGTTACTGTGATGTAACGTAGACCTAAAAAAGGATCAGGCAATTGAAAAATAAATAACATTATCAAGATATTTACTAGATGCGGAGTACCACGGAAGAATCCCGTCCCATCTCGAAGTTACTGATATCGTTATATTCGCGAATATTAAGTACACGGTTGATATCACCTTCAATAAAAATCCCATGGCAACTGTTTTAAACAGCCAGAGGATACGTTTCAGTTGGATTATTCACAAGTTCTACAGGAATGTTTATTCATAATTCTATTTCCAAACGATAAACTGTGCACATCGAATTCCTATCAGTCCGTGTTACATAATTACAGGACTTAACGTAATTGAATGCGACCCAAAATTGTTTTTAACAATTTTTTTAATCTCGCCGTTACTTCATTGTTCGACAGGGTATCAATTGGAACTTCCGATCCGAAAGAATTTAATGCGAGATGAATGTTTGTAGCGAGACGATTTCATCGATAACGCATGATGCGCTCGATCGCATTGTCGTAGGAATAGGATAACGACTTATTCTTTCCTTGAATCGGTCCCATACACGATATCACGTAGGTAACTGCGCGGTTTAACCGACGCAATAAATAAATGAATGTTCGTTTGTATCTTAGGTATCGCGGTATCTTATGCACTGAGCTCGCGGTCTACAGAAAAGCTGCATTGTGTGCCCCTGCATTGCCAACAATCCCCACTTCAGAACAAGCAATGAACGTAAAAGGTAAAGCTGGTTAGGTAATGCCAGCATGATCGTGAACGCAAACTCTCTTCGGGTGCTCGAGAAGGTGATACCTATAATCCTGAAGAAATGTTTTGTCTCTGCAGGGCAAAGTATTTGTGAACATTAAACGTAACGATTTTAGTTTTAGTTTTAGTTCTGGTTTTAATTTTAGCTTTACTTTTTTAATTCTAGCTTTAGATTTGGTTTTTTGATTTTTGTTTTACTTTTGATTTTATTTTAATTCTAGTTTAACTTTAATTTTTTTATTCTTGTTGAAAAATGAACAGGTCAGCATTCGAACGAATACATTCGAATCTGACAATCCTATGAACCACTTAGTTACAAAGTATTATAAAATAACAACCTTACAAATATTCTCGCGAGATATTTCTGCCGCCGCGATATTTTACTCTCTTTGGTATCATAATTGTGCAAAATTAATTAAGCCTGGCTAATCATACTATTATATCAATCTATTATATTTTTAACTGAGCCTACAAAATTCTTCGAAATTTAAAATATCCTTTACAACTAATTGGCCACTGACTGGTAATGTGTTCGAGAAACCGTTCTAATTAGATTACATATCAAGATTTTTCAATAAGATGGAAAAAAGTAATATTTTTCATTTCTATAAAATGATAAATTTCCTAGTAAAATGGAGGGTTGCCTTCGAATAAGAACAAGCGGATGAAAAGTGATTCCTCATGGAAAAATAAGAGAAAAATAAAGAATAAAATTTTTTTGTTCGATGCTGAATTTTCGAACGTACACATATACGTTCCAACCTTTTCAATATATTAGGTCCACCAGAAAATTCTGTTCGATGTGCTACCTCAAGATCTCCAAAGATGAGTCATTACAGAATGGAATGGGTACAGACATGGAGTCCACAAATTACCATTACGCTGGGGAAAAGTCATTAGTAACGATGGAAATGATATTATTCAGTAAATATTAGCGCATTCGCGACTACTGACGTGAATTCATATCTTTTCAAATATTTTCTTCCAAAATATTTTATTCCTCTGTTCTTTTCCATGTGCAACTTCTTTCACAGAAAGTCTTTCATTTCAAACAGATCGTTATAAGACTAACATTTTAAAAGAAATTTCCTAACTTTTGTCTCTATTTTAATGTCCAGAATCGGCGGCAATTAGCTTAAAATTCCCTTAATTTTCACTGGTAATGAGTATTAGAAAAGCGAAAAATTTGTCGGTCGCGGATATGTTAATAAATGCATTGAAAATATATTATTTTCTTTTAATTCAAAAATGGACAGAAGTTTCCGATAGATCTTACGTTTAAGTAACGCGTAATATTAACAACTGTATGTCTCCTGAGAATTCTAAACCATGGATAAAGACCATGATTTACGATAATGGTGGGCCCTACGACTGGACACCGGATATAGAACAGTGAAAAACAGCCGTTTGAAGAGCAGGTTTGTCAAGGCCCACCTACACACTGACCAGGATACCGACCTTTCAAAGATATCCTCTGTCAGCGCCCATACAGTTAACAGCTGTGTGAGTTCTGGATAGCTACATACTTCCACTGCCCATTCGTTTTTCGTCTAGTACATCAAATTCTAACAATACACGATTCTCATACATATTATAGACAATTAATTCCTTTAGTGGCACTTGATTATCAAATATTGTAGTTCCTATCCATTTAAAAAATTTATAACCCTTTCGTCGTAGACTACATGTATACA